ACCGTATAACACCCAATAACTGCCCAATAACACCCAAAATAACAACCAATAACTACAAAATGTTGACTTTGGAAACACAAAATAACAATATACGAGTTATCTCCCTTCAGGCGAGTGAGCGTGAAACTCCGATTTGGACACAAAGCAGCCATGCTTCTTAAATTCAACTAAATTGTTATTTTGTGTTTCCAAAGTCAACATTTTGTAGTTATTGGTTGTTTTTTTTGAGTTATTGGGTGTTACTGGGCTGTTATTGGGTGTTATTGGGCAGTTATTGGGTGTTATGGGGTAATTCGACGCGCCCGCCCTGGGTTGACCGAGAAAGTTCCCTGGTATTGTTCTGCGTGGTTTGCAAGGACAGTGTCTAGTCTTTCGAATGATACGTAAAAACCGAGGTCCCCGTGAACATTTTGTCGTATATGTAAAAGGGCCCTTGGAATTGGAATTCGAAGTACCAGTGGGACTTATCGTCACTGCCTGGGCAAAATTTCCCTTATAGCACGCTGCACATTACGTTACCCCATTTCGTTTCATTTCATTTGTTTAGTATCAGTCAAAATATTTGATTGTTATCTACTTATTATTCATGTCCACTTGATCACTGTATGGTAGGATTATAGGCGATATTCAGCGTTCCGCAACTTGCCGTTTAGGAGATATGCCTCCTGCCCCACACCCCCACCCCCAGCCATAAAGGCTGTAGTTTTGAATGGATTGGAGCCGCGACTCGCCCACCTGAAAGCCCCTGGTTTAATATCGATATTTACAATCCGAACCCTTCCATTCCTGAATTATCCCATCTTTACCGAACACCGTATGCTTCGGCTTGGTTGGAAGCAATGAGGTCAAATAAGGATGATTTTTTTATTTATTTATTACATTCATGACAAAATTACAAAATACATTAATTGCATAATGGTATGTCATAACCGATAAGTTGAAGATAAAAAAAAGAAGCCGCAGCCCCACTGTTCCCTTATAGCACAGCGTATGACTCATGCTCGCCTTCATTAGCTCGATTGGTACAGGACAATACAATCTCATTTTGATAAACTACACGTAAAATATTACTAATAACATGGCCATGAGCCAGTAATTGATGACAGACGACGTTCTTCCTCCAGATTTCCTATCATATTTTTATGAAAGCAAAAAAAACTATACCAGGTACAATACCAGGTAATTGATGATTACCCATATTATCTACTGTCATGGTGCTGCCGGGGATATTAATCTGTTGTGTTAAAGAGAGAGAGAGAGAGAGAGAGAGAGAGAGAGAAATGGGGTTTAACGTCCACTCGACACAAACTAGATCATTTCGGGACTAACATATGGTTTAATTTTATTTCAATAATTCGCTTGCGCATAGGGGTCTTTTATTTAGCAGTGCGAGTAAACCGGAGGACCCGGAGAAAACCCACGAGGTTGGACAGGCCACCCTACTCCTTGTCACGTACAACCGGGGATTCGAAACCACGCCAGTCGACTCAATGACAGACTTTATGATACAGCGCGCGCACGCTAACCATTCAGCCCCCCCCCCCCCCTGTTGTGTTAAAACAGTAGATTTCAAACAAGATCGACAAGGGGTGTGAATCGAATGATGAAACAATTAATCAGTCCTGTTGTATTTATAATAGATTTATTACTGTTGGAAGGTGAACTGTAAAGATTGTAATTTTGATGTTCATAGATGGTATTATTTTAATTAATAATTGTACATATTCCTGTTTTCTGTGCAAGTGTCCCTTTCGCATCAGTGCAAAGGAGTCGCGGTGAGTTTTATCCAGGTGTTGGCCGAGAAAGTTACCCTGAATATTTCAGTTTGGTTTCCACTTGTCAGTGGTGCAGGACGGAGAGTCTGACAAGGGCAGCGTCTAATTGTTTGGATGGGACGTGAAACTGATGTCCCGTGTACACGTTGGCGTGCAGATACAGGAACTTTAAGCCTAGGCCGTAACGTCGATGTTTGGCAAAAATTTCCACCAATACGACAATGCATGGCATATGACCATCTTCTTTATCCCAGTTTTTACGGAACAGTAAAACAGTAAACCCCATTTGATTTCTTTTATCTTCATAACAATTATCACCCCCAGTACAGTATTATTTAGTCTTTGCCATATATCTATTTTAGGGAGAAAATTACATATCTATAGATGCTTTGCTTCGGGTTAAATATATATTAGAACTGTAGCCTCAAATTTTATATGAAATAACGGTTTACAGCTATACTAGTAGACATACTAGGTCCTTGCCTGTTGTTAATCCGATTCAGTTTACTGAATAAATATTGTTAAAACTAAATACTGTTATTAGTAATTTGGCATAAAGGGAGATAATGGATTTCCAGAATGTATTTAATGTTTTGGGTATTCTTGTTTAAATCAAAATTTAACCAAAACATTAGGTCAAGGATTTTTTCTCCAGCATTTATGAGGAATATATGAAGTATTTTGCAAGAAAAAGGTACAAATCAACGTATGGCACTAAAAGGCCACCGTAGGATCCCAATTTCATTAACTTTTTTTAACTATTGTAGCGAAAACTGCCATATTAATGGGAATCATGAACCACTTAAAACAGATGACGGAATGGTTAACAATTTATTCTAATGGGAATCGCGAACCACTTAAAACAGATGACGGAATGGTTAACAATTTATTAATGTGAATCGTAAGCCACTTAAAACAGATGGCGGAATGGTTAACAATTTATTAATGTGAATCGTAAGCCAATTAAAACAGATGACGGAATGGTTAACAATTTATTAATGTGAATCGTAAGCCACTTAAAACAGATGGCGGAATGATTAACAATTCATTAATGTGAATCGTAAGCCACGTAATAACATGGCCATGACATGGGAATCGTGAACCACTTAAAATAGATGATGGAATGATTAACAATTTATTAATGTGAATCGTAAGCCACTTAAAACAGATGACGGAATGGTTAACAATTTATTAATGGGAATCGTAAGCCACGTAAAACAGATGACGGAATGGTTAACAATTTATTCCAATGGGAATCGTGAACCACTTAAAACAGATGACGGAATGGTTAACAATTTATTCTAAGGGGAATCGTGAACCACTTAAAATAGATGATGGAATGGTTAACAATTTATAAATGGGAATCGTGAACCACTTAAATCAGATGACGGAATGGTTAGCAATTTATTCTAATGGGAATCGTGAACAACTTAAAATAGATGATGGAATGGTTAACAATTTATAAATGGGAATCGTGAACCACTTAAAACAGATGACGGAATGGTTAACAATTTATTAATGGGAATCGTAAGCCACTTAAAACAGATGACGGAATGGTTAACAATTTATTCTAATGGGAATCGTGAACCACTTAAAACAGATGACGGAATGGTTAACAATTTATTCTAATGGGAGTCGTGAACCAATTAATTTAGATGATGGAATGGTTAACAATTTATAAATGGGAATCGTGAACCACTTACAACAGATGACGGAATGGTTAACAATTTATTAATGTGAATCGTAAGCCACTTAAAACAGATGGCGGAATGGTTAACAATTTATTAATGTGAATCGTGTAAGCCACCTAAAACAGATGACGGAATGGTTAACAATTTATAAATGGGAACCGTAAGCCACTTAAAACAGATGACGGTATGGTTAACAATCTCTCTTTTTCTTCCCTCTTCATACGATACGGAATACTTGTAATACTATGGTCTTTGCGACCATTTTGTATCTTTTAAGACAGATTATTAGGTTCACACTTGGTATAGAGTCATATCACACACACTCAAATGAAATTGAGTGATGTGTTTATACATAAACAGTGATAATTTGGTAAAAACACTGGCTATGTGCTTACCATTGTCAATATATCCATCAAATACTATCTTTATGACATGTGGTTGGTAGACCAAATAAATTAATATCCTCTTTCCGGTCTTTGGAGTATGGGGATATTTATTTCATATTTGGGAAGGAAATTAAAGCCAAGGTCAGTCTGTGACGTAAAGAAATTAAGGGGTTATAAAAGAGGGGGTTGAGCGAAATTCATCAGAGCTCACCCAGATTTCCAGAGCAGCCATCATCAATAATTTATTGAGAACGAGGAACATCGAAGCCAAGCAGTTTTAATAATAAAGTTGTATAAACGACTAAACCTGTAGTTATATTTATGATCACGATGAAACACAAAAAAGTCTGGTATTACTGCATATTGTTGGACAGGGGACTCTAACCTAGATTGTGCTTCTCGAAGAAATAAATTCTGGTTCTTTTGATGCGCCCAGAGTTAAAAGGATTGTTGCTATTTGACTAAAACACAGATTCTATTTCTTTTCGTTTTTGTAGTTCAAAATTTCGTTTTACTTGTCTTTACTTCACTAGGATCTGGAAGAGTTGTTACATTATCCGTATTCTGTCTTGTCCGCAGGTTTATCTTGTAGATTTTGTTTTGTGTGTGGTGCGCTCCTCCTGCACTTGCTATATACAGTACAGGAAGGTGGTGGGTGTGGGCAGCAGAGTCAGATTATCTTTTATAAACTTGGTGAAATTGTTCAATAGAAGAACACGGAAATCAATGTACGGTCGACATAAACATTGGTTTGCTTGTTCCTTGGGCAATGGCACAGCGCTTGCCGGACTTCGATGTTTAATATGAAGTCACAATCCAAGATGGCTGCAACGAGGTTATAGTTGGTTTCTGGTCCATAGTACGGTGGCACGTCTTCAACAAAAACCAACACAGAAATCAAACAGAATAATGGAAGATTCTATACAAATTTTGTATATCTTTATTCAATTCATCCATCCTTTCATTTAAAATCGACCCTGAGGCAATCTTATCAATGATTTTGTGCTCTGGACATCTGGATTATAATTACATTAAATATGGTTAATTATTAAAAATAGACTGGTTGGTTATTGATGAAAATTATTTAATATTATGGACATCTGAAATTGTTTTTTTTTTAAAACAAAATCAACATAGATTGTGTAGCAATGATTTTGTGTATTGGATTTGTGGATTATAATATCAAATATAGATAATTTATTAACATTAGATTTATTTGCAATCTGATTAAACCACAGACACTATTTCGTTTCGTTATTTATAGTTCAAAATTCCGTTTTACTTGTCTGCAATACGCTATGCTGTGGAAGCCATCGAAAGCATAAAAACGAAACGGAATATAGATCAGTATTTATTTATTTAATATTTAATATTATGGACATAGATCGTTTCTGAATACAAAACTGAAACCCGATAACATTAAAGTTGTCATTCACTTATTTTAAATAATTAATGTTACTTTTATTTTCTTAAAATATTCACGCGGTTGGAAAAGGTTTGAAAGAGTATGTAATCAAAATAAGTCAATATTTTCAGAATTTACAAGGGTTGGGTTATATCGGTAACTGGTACATCTTTAGTTGGCTCTTCGGTTGTTTCTTCTTCATCATCGCCAGTTCTAGGAGCGGTAGCAGGTTTATCTTCTGCAGTCATAGCCATGCCCATGCCCATTCCTGGGTTCATGCCCATTCCTGGGTTCATGCCCATACCTGGGTTCATACCCATACCTGGTGGATACATGCCACCTCCCATGCCAGGGTACATGCCACCACCGTTAGCATCTAAAACGAGAATAAGGATTTAATGTATTAAGGATTTTAATGTTATAATTAAGTCTTACATAAGCAGTTAATTCCCTTCAACTGTCTGTTGCGAATTATTGAAATAAAACTGAACCATATGTTAGTCCCGAAGTGACCTGGTTTGTGTCGAGTGGACGTTACCCCCCCCCCCCCGATCTCTCTCTCTCTCTCTCTCTCTCTCTCTCTCTCTCTCTTATGCCTTTCATTGTTAAAGAAACTTATGGATATTTCTACTTGGTATGCGTGATCTGCTCAGGGATGAAATAAAGATCTTGTCATATTTTCATATTCTGTCATTGCATGACAATGACTAGAGAAGCCTAATCGAAACGTCACTCAGTAATAAGCAGTAATTGTATTCCATAGAATTGTGACCTGTATACTCCTGTTCATTTACTAAATGCCAATAAAACAATTTATCCACAGTGGGAATAAAGCCACATTACATTAAAATACTAACAAGCCATTTTGATTTTCATAAATAAATCAATAAATAAATAATCATTTGAATCACATGAAAGATATTTTGTTTGATGGAACTGGATCTTTTGGCTTTCAAATTAGTTTTTTCTAGAAGAAATAAGAATTTTAACAGGTGCCCCCCAGAAACTCAAATTGGGGTGGCCTTATAACATTGTATACAATGATATTACTTTTCGATATTTTATTCCGTTTTCACAAACAAAATGGGTATTAACGACCCCTATTTCATTTTAAGAGTTATACTGCATCGGCACGGAATAATAAAACGATAATACGTGTACTTACAGACGCAGGATGGGTATCCATATTGGTAAGAACACATCTGTCCCATTTGACAATATTGGGTCTAAAATGTAAAACAGAACTAGAAATATAACACGACAATAAAGCAATTATCATTTATTGTGTAGCATCGGTTCGGGTGATTAAATTTCTCCAGGAACTAATATAATCGAAACTATATAATAAAAAAACTAGCGTGCATAGCTTTTTCGATATCGATATTATTTCTGGGGTTCTTCGTAATACTGGTCGCAAGACGCATGCTTGAATTTAGCCCATAATGTACAAGACGGATTCCTAGACATTTCAATCAAAATCCTCTCTATGCCCCCACCCCAAAGGCGGTCAGTTTTCTGAAATCTTTTCTCCTAGGAAAGGGCGTTGCCAGTGTCAGTTAACACTAATGGTTCATGCATACCTAGAGTATTTTATTTTTAAAGACTCGATGATGGAGAAAACAAACAAACATACAGTATATAGGCATGTTAGCAGATTATTCTACTACACCCATATCTTACCCCACATAGCTTCATGCCGCTACCCATTCCCATACCGGGTATGGCCTGTCCATAGACAGCCAACACAACCTGAAACACAAATAAAATCAACATATATTTTTAAAATATCAATTTTCTTTGTATAGATGATTTAATGCTCAAATAAATGTAATGATGGTTAGTGTATTTGACCCGCAATTTTACAGAATATTGCGTTACGGAATAATTGTATTTAATTTACATTTGTCCTGTAGTCCTGTAAGCATCCAACCCTACCGGCGGCATTCAATTATCAGTATCGGATAAAACTTCTAAAATTGACAAATCCAAAACAAAATATTAGATATAAAGGGTTTTAAAGAGCATTGTCAATTTAAAAAAAAACAAACTATTTTTTTATGAGACAAATCACGAAACTAAAAAAAATAAACACGTTAAAGATTTTTTCAGTGCATTGTCGCAATTAAAAATGTGTAGAATATTTTCACATGTGAAGAAAATTGACCTACTGAAACATTATTTATTAGACTTACATTCATTTTGTAATACACATTTAGAACTACTTCTAAGCAGTATCGGATAAAACTTATAATTAGTTATCGATATTAAATTCGTATAAAAATTTCGTATAGTATTTTCACATGTGAAGAAAATAGAACTATAAAATGAAATGGAATGGTTTTTAACGTCCTACTGTTCTGCTCCTAAACTGGGCTAATGAAGACGGGCATACGCCATACAGTGTGCTATGAGGGAAATTTTGCCCGTGCAGCGGCGCTACGGCCTACTCTTATATCGAATTCCAATTGCCAAGAGATCTTTTACGTGTACGCCGAACGACTAGACAGCTGTCCTTGCCAGGCCCTCCGTCCTGCATCACTGATAAGGGGAAACCACGCCGCTGTCCGGGCTCAAACCACCGTAGAGCTGCTCAATTTCCCTCATAGCACACTGCATATGGTGTATGCCAGTCTTCATTAGGTCAGTCGGTGCAGACCAGTAAGACGTTAAACCCCATTTCATATTCATTTCCACGAAAATTGTTTCAAAAACAAATACTTACGCATGCAACAAGGAGAGCTACTTTCATCATCATTGTTAATGTATGGAACAAATGAATGTATGCTATTGTAGTGTAATGGACGAGTATTTATACCCATGGCAAATTGATGAATGTCGAGATAGTTTTAAACAGATGTGACGTAGATTGGTACAAATTGGACAGGTTATCTGATATCTCTTGCATTAATCTCGTAGATCTTAGATGTCTGACACCAATCGTTCAGATCCAAACGATTTCATTTAAATAATCAGAGTACTAAATCTGATTAGTTAATGAAATGAAATGGATAGGGGTTGCAAGTCCTACTTTTCTACGCCCATTAGGTTAATGAAGATGGGCATATGAGAGAAATTTTGCCTCGACAGTGACGCTACGGCCGACACTTATTTCGTATTCCAACTATCAAGGGTTGTCTAATTAGTTATGTGTAGGATACGTTTCATTTAAAATCATTTTCCCCGGTTCACATTAAAGTGGTCTTGCACAGTGCTGTCTAGTTATTAGGATGGAACGACAAACTAAGGTACCCGATGGATACATCGGCATGTCCGTAAACGGAAACAATGACAAATTGAACTCGATTAAAAGGAGTCGAAGACGTTGCTATTCGGTCAAAATTCATCTGCAGAGCCATAGAAAAATGTTAATGCATGTTAGTTTGAATGTAACTGAAGGATACGTGTTGTCAGGACGTTTAAGCACACATCTAGTAACAAACTCTATGTAACAAAATTAGAGTTGCCGACGTGAATTAATAAGTATTGGTCGATATATGGTGTTCCAAACTGATCCACCTATTATAGAGAGTTCATAAATAAGCGATATTTAATACAGCGGCTTTGGTTGGGTCCTGTTTCACGAAATTTTAACTAAGATAAAATCCAAATTTTAGTAATTTCATTGGGTAATATTAGATTGATTTTAGTGCTTAGCCAATCAAATTTTTTGTATCTACTAAAATTTGGATTTTATCTTTAGATAAGATTTCGAGAAACAGGTCCCAGACAAGTATTTGCACCCCCCACCCCAATGTTATGTGGCAACGTTATTTTGGTCCGACATCACTAGGCTATTGTTAAAGTGTGTAGAAAGTCCTACCGTTGTGCTCCTATACTGGGCTAATGAAGACGGGCATACCCGAAACAGAATGCTATGAGATTAGAAAGGTCGGCGCAGAACAGTGGTAGGACCTTTAAACCCAATTTCCTTTCCTTTCTGGTCTTGATAGAGGAGTCTAGTAAAGAGAGAGAGAGAGAAGTGGGGTTTAACGTCCACTCGACACAAACTAGGTCATTTCGGGACTAACATTTGGTTTAATTTTATTTACATAATTCGCTTGCGCGTAGGAGTCTTTAGCAGTGGGAGGAAACCGGAGGACCCGGAGAAAACCCACGAGGTTGGACAGGCGACCCTACTCCTTGCCGCGTACAACCGGGGGAGCCTAGTAAAATCGCCATCATTGTTTGTTGAAGACTAGCGAAGCCTGGTCGAAACGTTATCATTGGTTGATTAAGACTAGAGAAGTTTGGTCGAAACGTTAACATTGGTTGATGAACCCTAGTCGAAACGTCACCATTGCTTGATACAGACTAGAGAATAAAAGTAATTGCAATAAACAATAATAATTTTATCCATAGAATTTTGTTTGAAGATCAATACTAAAAGCCATTGAAACAATTTACAATTTTATTTGAAAACTGTTAACAATTACACGTGGGAAAACATTATGGTGTCAATGTTATCCTCTGCTCCAGTTAAACTTTCTTAGCAATACCATTAAACGAACAACTACATCATTAGCTTCGTGGGCAGTTTCAACGGCTTCGTTTTTAATGTCCACCAATGCCGTTTCTATCATTGATAGCTTGCTTCGAGGTGCTGAAAAACAAACAATAAACTGTTTACGATCCTGTCGGTCATAGGTTACTAGGCAAGAAAACGAACGTCTAGCGGGCTGTAGTTTACAGAACGTGCTTACCCAGTAAATACTATATATATTAATCCATACATCTTTTTGAAATTGGGGTGGGAAAATTGTCTGATTCGTTGAAAATAAGACACCTTTAGATTATCAACGAGTTTTGTTTATAAATGCAGGAGGTATACTATTCAAAAACAGTAGGGGATATTTGATTTTTAAGTGTTATTAAAGTCACCTAATGAAACTGACGAAGAAACAAATGACAAAATGAAATGAAGTTCACATTCATCGATTTATTCCAAATGATCGTTAGACTAAGTAAGGCACAGACTGACCATTATAAGGGTAAAATGATACCCGGGGTCAAACAGCAAAGTTACCACAGCATCACAACCAAGTCAGTAACGGGTAAATCCTCCTCTGTTTGCCAAACAAGCATTGATCCGACGTGGCATACTCCTAATGAGACGTCTAAGGTCATTTTGGTCCAGATTGTCCCATTCCTGTTGCAACGCAGCAGCAAGTTCTTGGACATTGGCAGGACGTTGTTGACGTTGACGTAACCTCTGTCCAAGCATGTCCCAGACATGCTCGATGGGGGAGAGGTCGGGACTCAGTGCTGGCCAAGGTAATGTGGTGATGTTCTGTTGTTGGAGGTAACCTGTAACGATCCTGGCCCTGTGACATCTTGCGTTGTCATCCTGGAAGATGAAACGGCGGCCATGACGTCGTGCGAACGGCACAACATGGACTGCCAAGATGTTGTCCCGGTAGTACTGGCCTGTAACACGCCCTGCAACAACATGTAAAGCCGTTCTTCCAGCAACAGTGATGCCTCCCCACACCATAACAGAACCACCCCCAAATCGATCATGTCTGATGGCGTTAACGTCTTGGAAGCGCTCGTTTCGACGACGCCACACCCTCCTACGTCTGTCCAAAAAATCAACAGTGAACCTTGACTCATCTGAAAACATCACATTGCTCCAGCGTCGATTATCCCAGTGTTGACGATCCCTACACCAACGACGTCTTGCCTGAATGTGATGATCTCTCAAACAAGGGATCACGCGAGGACGTCGGGCGCGAAGGTGACCCCTATGCAGTCGATTCCGAATCGTCTGGCCACTCACTCTCAAACCAGTGTCTGTTTGAAGACGAGCGCTGATCTGATTTGCTGTGATGACACGATTTCTCAAGGCCAAGGTACGGATAAATCGATCCTGGGCTTGAGTTGTCGCCCTTGGTCGACCTGAGCGTGGTCTGTCCTGTACAGATTGTGTATCACGGTATCTGGACCATAGCCTGCTTATGACAGACTGGGAAACATTCATCGTCCGCGCCACAACCGCCTGTGTTGTGCCGATCTGTAGCATGCCAAGGGCACGTAACCTTTCATTTTGGGTAAGCCGACGCATATCAAAATTTGTTTTCTGGTCACTAAAACAATTAAACTGATGTTTCCACCCTGGAATTCAAGGCCACAATGACTGTAACATTCAAAGTCAGAGTCGTGCAAATCTTGGGTTGGACCCCCATGATGATCCCAAGCATCACCTGCATTCCATGCGGTAGCTATTGGTGCGTTTGGGCGTCACATGTAACTGGAAATGTTTCTTCTGTAAGGTTCTATAGTGACTTTTTTCGTAGTCATTTGCATATTTTAGTATTATGCCCCCAAAATCAAATATCCCCTACTTTTTTTGAATAGTATATTACACTTTGTTATGTAATCTTAATAGCTTCGTAGAACCTTAAAATATGATCTGACCTTTTTGATATGTATATTAGATAGAGAAAACAGAACCCCCAGAGTTACCCCCCTTTGTTACAAAATCAAGTAAGCCACATATAGGCTTTAAAGATCATCTGATATTTATGAATTCTTATAAGTTGTTTAGTTCAACTGCTGGTCAGATTATGGGTAAGCGTCGTTGCCAGGAAACCTTTTCATTTAGTAAAGGTTCTATTTTCTTGTTGAGGTGCGGTGGCTCAGTAAGTAAGGCACTGGCTCACTAACCTGGAGATCCGAGTTTCGATCCCTATGTTCCCCGGGATTTTCCAGCGTAGTTCCATTTGTCAGTGGTGCTGTGTGGAGATTTTGACAAAGATAGCCTCAAGTCGGACGGGACGAAAAACTGAGGTGTTGTGTACGTAAAATAACCATTAGCAGTTGTAATTCATTCGTTGTCCGAGGAAAATTTTCCCGCATCAGAGCGCACTCTATGGCGCATGACCGTCTTCATGAGCCCAGTAGGCGCAGATAAACCCAATTTCAACGCTATATCTTCGTAAGAAACTTACTCTGTTTTGGTGTTACAGTCAAGGTAAACCCACTTCGTGAAATAGATCCATCACTTGTAAATCTCAGCTTTATACAGTCATTTGACGTAGGCACTGTAGATTATAATAATAATAATAATTGATTTATATAGCGCCAACAATTAAACTCAGCGAGCTGCTCTCAGGCGCTTTACATAAGTACAACTAATATAAAATTACAACAATCACAACACATTAATCCATAAAATAAGACATAAACAAAAAACGGAGAACATTATTTAGTACATATGGTAAAAGTCTGACACAAACACAGCTAGAACCGTATTCAATCAGTTGTATATTTGATTAAAAGGTTCTGTTTTGAGATACTTTTTAAAACCTTTAATAGAATTTGCGCTTTTGGTTTCGTTTGATATTGAATTCCATAACTTCGGATCTATCACCGGAGTTGGTTTTTGAAAAAGGCTTAATTAAGAGGTTGTCTGATTGTGATCGAAGGGTTCTGCAAGGTTTATTGGTGTTGAAAGGGTCTCTAAGGTATTGAGGTGAAGAATCATCATTTAGATCAGAATACGTAATAGACAGTAATTTAAAATTGATACGTTGACGGACTGGAAGCCAATGGAGATCTTTCAAATTTGGTGTCATATGTTCATTTGGTTTCCTCTTGGTTATGATTCTAAAGTCGTCTGATTTTATTTTCAGGTATATTGTACAAAAGTGAATTACAGTAGTCGAGTTGTGATGTAACCATAGTGTTTAACCAGCATTTTAGCCGAGTCACTATCAATGAAAGATCTAATTTTTCCAATATTATAAATCTGAAAATTAATACTTTTACACATGGCCGAGATTTGTCTATTCATGTCCAGATAAGAGTCAAAATAAACAGCAAGAATTTTTACAGAATCTGTTGGTGTAATAAAGATATTGCCAATTTGATAGTTTCTAATATAAACTAGGCCATTTCGGGAATAACATATGGTTCAATTTTATTTCATTAATTCGCTTGCGCGTAATGGTCTTTAGCAGTGGAAGGGAACCGGAGAATCCGAAAAAAAAAATCCACCCGGTTGGACAGGCAACTTGACACTTTGACAGACCTCATGACGTAACGCGCACGCGTTAACCATTCGGCCATTCAACCACCTTAATTAATAAAGAAATCTTGATTTCCGTTGCTTTTAATTAATAAGGAAACCAAGTTTTATTAAAGTTTGAAATTATACCAACCATCGAAATTCTGCAGCAAGGAACCACAGTATTTAGTATCTCTAATGATTAACGCATCATGACCACATCTATAACCCTCCTGAATATCCATTCTTGTAATATTAATATTCACTACATGAGTATTGGTACAAACTGTCCATTCACATGTTTCGTTGTTGCCATAGTTATCACAAGTTCCAGGATAGTCTATTATAGTTGAATAACCGTCTTTTCTCTCTACTCCACAATCTACATTTGAAACAAAAAATATTTTACAAGAAAATTAACAGCGATAATTTCAAATTTGTTTACAATTCAAATATACTCTTTGATTGGACAACGCTGAAATATATAAGTCCGGTGCCGTATTTCCCCTGGCCTCTTCGATGCATGCAACTGCAGGCATGGGTGCATTCTCCTGAACTTCGATCTCCGCCCGAAATGGCCGCCATATCCATCAATTAGTATACAGTTTTGTAATGCGGTTCTACTCCAGTTTGCATCTGTTATACACAAAAAGACTAATTAAACCTTTTCAATTTATTACATGAAAGCAGAATAAATACTTCACAAAATTTTCGAAATATACTTAGTGCTTTCGACTTAATTCGTCGATTTAGGACTTAAAATGTCGGTCAACTAGCTTAGTGTCTGTTCTCAAGTGGAGCTAATTGTAGACAGATAGAGTATGTTTATTATTGGTATTTCCCAGTCGTTCGGATAACTCTTACTTTATATTATAGAATGAAAGAAATTAATGCATCTTGTACTACACGTATTAATTCCTTGATTTAGATTAAATGGGATTTACTTTTATCTTTAAAAATTATTTTTGTCTTAGAAGTATTCTTTTTGGGAGATGCTAATTGTAGGTCGATTGGGGAGGTTCGGGAATTTCCGGAGTCCACAATGGCCGGTTTATATAAATGAGTATTTTGGGGAAAACTAACCCTAGCCCTAACCCTAACCCTTTTAAGAGGGGTAAAAGGTAAATTGGATCCAAGTTCAGTCTTCTAAAAAGGGTTGGGGTTATTATTCACCAAAATACTCATTTGTATACAGCGGCCATTGTGGACTCCAGAAATTCCCGAACCTCCCCAACCGGCCTACAAATACAATTAGCATCTCCCATTCAGTTTTGTTGCGTATATAGCTCACCATTATTATTGGTAGTGGTTGATATAGGTGGAGTGATAGTGGTTGGCCTAGTAAAATCTGAAATATCAAACACAGTAATATCCATCTTTTAATATATCTTAAACCCCATTTCATTTCATATTTAGATAACAATTACAATAAAATACGCCAAAAATGACAAAGCTTTCAGACTGAAAGAATTAAAAATGACTATTTCGGCCAAGGCGATCAAGCCGATGCCGTGCGTACGATCTTGAATATTCATAAAAGATAAAAGTAAGATATTAAATAACTTGAATAATGCAATGAGTAAACGCAATTCACAATACTCTTCATAATTTCATCTTGATTATTATATAGTGTACAAGGGGGTCTAATAAAGGCGATCTGTTAAAAATGCATATCGGTTTTTTCCCTTTCTTGGTTGATCACGGGAAAGTTAATAGTTTTCACCAACAAATAACCAAAGTCACCAATCTGTAATTTTCACGATTCCTATTTCTTGTTTCTGAACGCAAGGGAAGTAAATCTACTTAAAAGTATAAAGGATATAGACCACCATAGATCGTTCATACTTTTTATCTCTTGCCGTTTAAACGGCGATTCGAGTAGACTTTTTAGTGTAGATTCGAAGCAAATCATTTGAATTGACATTTTTCTTCAGATTTATGTCATGATAGTACGGACAAAACAAGCCCGACTTCAAGCACCCTTACAACACAAGCACCACTTAAAAGGGCCATACAACACAAGCCTCGCTTAAAAAGGCCATACAACAAAAGCCCCGCTTAAAACACCCTTACAACTTAAACCCGACTTAACATAACTTTGCAACATAAGTCCGGCTTAAAACACTCTTACAACACAAGTCCGGTTTAAACACCCTTACAGCATAAGCCCCGCTTAAAACACCCTGACATCATAAGCCCCGCTTAAAACACCCTGACAACATAAGCCCGGTTTAAACACCCTTACAAATCCCGTCCATAATATCATATTCATTGTATTGGACGTTAAATCTGTAATAATCAACAACAACAACCCTTACACATAAACCCGGGTTAAAACATGTCCCATAACTTACTTTGTAGCGGTTTTATGTCCACTGTAAATCCAGTCCCAGTAAGACTCCCATCACTTGTAAAACTCATATTTATACATCCCATGGTGGTGGCAACTATATTAAAAACAGAAGCAAACATATGGAATGGAGTTTACAGTCCTGCTTTTCTGACCTATAGCCGGACTAATGAAGGTGGGTATATATCATACAGTGTGCTACGAGGGCAAGTAAGTTTGCTGGACGGGCATTTCCAGCTGTCAAGTAAATCGTTTAAGTGCATGTCCGTGTGTACACAGAACCCCCGGACATCCACAAGCGGTTCCTTACAAATTATGCCTAAATATTAAGACCAACTGCCGATTTGTCAAGGGCAACGAGGTGTAAACTGGACTAGCACTAACCCTACGTCTAGCCTTAACCCTAACCCACAATTTCATCAACAATCACGTGCCCTAACCCTATTTGCATCTCGCGAACTTGACGAAATCTGCAGTTGACCTTAATATTTAATTCCTCCATCCTGCACTACACTGGAACATCCCGAGGAACTTTCTCGGCCAGCACCGATATCGATCTCGGAACCTCATGACTAGTGAACCATGCTTACTCGGGCTAATGAAAAAGGCAAAAACCATAAAATGACAGTTATCTCACGCCCCAGCCCTGTACCACGCACAAGGGAAAACTAGACTTGAAAATGTCGAAGACCGTTCTCGACCAGCCCCGTTATCAAACCCCGAACCCCCAGGTCAATGAGCTAGCACCCTGCTTACTGAGCCAGCAGGCCTCACGGGAGTGGGTGCAGCCGGTGGTCCACCCAGAGCCCATATTATGAGTCTATGGGACCCTTAAATGACTAGTGTTGGGGGGGGGGGGTCTCGCCCCAGCACATTTTTTCCCTCTCAAGGGCCCTGTGAGCCACCATGACCAGTCGAAAACATAAAGATAAATTTAGGTCACGATAATCAAGTGACGAAACTCACTCCAACTCTATCCAGTTAGCTATATGGCCGAAACGATGATCCCCCATTAGAGGTAAAGGGTAATTTTTCGTCATCCATCTCGTTTAAATGAGCCATTATTGATATGTATTCAAACTTGATCTGAATAATGATAAATACCTGAGAAATTGCCAAGATAATTTCCACAAACAGTAATTTGCGGACTCTCAATTCTAAATGCATCATATCTACATAACGTGTTCACCTCAACATCCATCCTGATAATATTAATGTTAACACCAGGAGTATTGGTACAGATTGTCCATTCACATGTCTCGTTGTTACCATAGTTACCTCCAGTACCTGGATGATCTAATCGCGTTACATCCCCCTTTCGTCTCGGTACTCCGCAAACTGGTGGTGAAACTTTTTAAAAACAGTTAAAAGTCGGTGTAAAAGAAACTACGTAGGGCACAATTTATGGAATGACATTAATATATCGATGAGTCGTTTAAGCTCTATAGAATCACTTGCAAACTACGATATTATGAAAGACGAATCTCTAATAGGAATATCAATCCAAAAATGGTTCAGTTCCGATGTGAGATCAATTACAATATTTGATCTCTCGATGTAAGATCAATTACAATACCCGGTCTATTGTTGTGAGATCAATTACAATATCCGGTCTATTGATGTGAGATCGATTATAATATTTCATCTATCAATGTGAGATCGATTACAATATTGATTTAAGATCAATTACAATATCTGATCTATTGGTACCAGATCGATTACAATAATAATTGATTTATTGTGAGGTTGAATAATAATTTAACTTACCATTTCGCTTGAACCTGTGTAAAATTTGGCCAAACTGCACCTATACAAAATTATTTAATCGTTTAATCGTCTCCTCAACAGCATAATTTGATATGAATTCAATGTTCCATGCGCTTGAGAGGATTCTGCATTTCCACGGCGGACTACCGACGAGTGTGACGACAATAAACTCTCCGTCTCTCACATGAACTGATTAATCAGACAACATTGGTGGTCTAGTCGTAATGGGACAAAAGGTCTAAACAACTTATCAATCGACAAGAAGGATTTAACGTTACGCTTTTCTGCATGGCACCAAATGGGATACTCAAGACGCGCATACGCCATACAATCGGGACAGCAATTGAATTCCAGTTATCATGGGTTGTTTTACATGCACGCCCAAGGCAACCTTCAAATGTAGACTATGGTCGTTGACTGCAGTCTGAACCAGCAACCGAACGCAATTGGCCCGGACCATAAACTATTCAATATGGCGGCGCTCATGTCAGTTGTTTCGCCTGTTAAATTTTCTGCTATTTACTCATGTATTTTTAAGCATTTGTTAAATTTCCACACTGTGATGTGAAAGCAAGTTTACAGACGTAGGTTACAAATAGGTTTAGTCAATGTCAGAATATTTTTCATTGGAATTATGTCACCTAAGATCATTTCACACACAAAAAAAAATCAAGGGTGTAGATAACATCTATACCCCAACGCCCAATGCTCATTGACTAACTTTCGTGTTTTAACATGGACCATATAATACGGTCCACGGTTAAATAATGCAACCTCAATCGGCAATTTGATGATATTTTTCAAACAAAACTACTCACGCGTGAGTCTGGTCAGCCATCTATGAAGTATCCGGACCGTGCTATATCGAATGGTATAGCTGGCCAGGACCACAGATGCACTAAATGTCAATCGCATCCAGTGCGACCTTCGGTTATAATTTTTTCACGACTAGTGGTCGGAACTAGAAACCAAACGCAAATGGTCCGGACCATCGTCTGATCAAAGATGGCTGCCCCCAGGGGTATGATGATGTAATTTTACTCTGCTTTAAACCTCGACCATAACCCCAAAAAACCCTTAAGCTCAAGGACTGGAAGGTCTATACATCTCTCCGTGGAGGATAATGAATCGCTGTGTTATATAGTTTAATAAACAAATAATACTTTCATGAAGTTAAATTTGCGCGACTCAAATTAATTTTAGAGACGACAAAATTCCTTGTAATTTGACCATAGTCAGGAAATCACGATAACCGAAGGTCGCCCAGATAGTTCGACTTTTGTAAGAAAATCTGAGAAACCGAAGGTCGCCCGGGATTTTCATCATATCTTAACGAATAGACGATTGACTTTGCAAGTCCCCCACTGGAAAATCCTGAGGAACTTTCTCTGCCAAAACCGGAATTGAACCCCAAACCGCCTAGTTAGTGAGTCAGTCCCTACTCACTGAGCCACCGTGGTCCTTGAAATGAAGGAGCCCTCCAGCATTTGGGAGAATAAACCAGATAGTAATAGGTTACCTTTTCGTTTATATTTCTTCCATGGGATAGCTGGATAAGCGCAAGAAGAAGGACCAATAACTGCGACAACATCCTTATGATATAACGCTAGCTTTCAATTGTAAATATTTTTCCTCGGTTGGTATATATATACAATAATTTCAGATTTATCAAAATTATGAAGGTTTTCGTCTTTTCTGTCACATAGTGACATACCAAATGAATTATTGAAATAAATTTCGTGTTAATGTCAAAATCAATAATTGCAATAAATTCATAGTTTCAACTTATGAAATTGAAAGACGGTTTTCGCCTTTTCTTTTCCCTAGCAAATTAATCACTCATTTGACATATTACCGTTTGTAAACACCATATTTGCATCATGGCGGATATTGGCTATTATAGACAAAAAGGGGTTAGGTCTAAATATTAAGGCCACTCGCAGATGTAAAAAGAGCTAGCGCGAACCCTAAACCTAACCCTTACCCAATCAATAACCCATAGTCATCGGAAACAATCGCGTGTCCTAACCCTGTTTACATCTCTTGACCTTGACGAAATCTGCAGGTGGCCTTAATATTTAGACCTAACTACAAACAGGGCTAAAATAAATTAGTTATATAATTTAATTAGAGCCCCTATAATGAGCGCAAGTCACATTATGTTGAATACTGATAGCAGTGTTTCGTGACAATTCTTGTTTAATAGACAAACAGAACCCGAGAAATCAACACACACAAACAAAATGTTATGTTGGTCCTAGGCCATACACATCAGTCGACCATCAAATTTATAGAAATGTTGGCAAGTTTCAGTATCAAATGACAACAAATATGTAAGACCTCGCTTTATTACCTTTAAGGGGGACCACGTGGCTAAGTGGGTAAGGCGCTGGCTCGCTAGCCTGGAGGTCGGGTGTTCGATCCCTGCATTGGCCGAGAAAGTTCATCCAGATTTTCCGGCGTGGTTCCCCCTTGTCAGTGATGCAGGACGGAGGGCCTGACAAGGACAGCTGTCTAGTCCTTCGGATGAGACGAAAAACCGAGGTCCCGTGTATACATTGGAATGCACGTAAAAGATCCCTTGGCAGTTGGAATTCGATATAAGAGTAGGCGATAGTGCCGCTGCCCGGGCAAAATTTCCCTCATAGCACACTGTATGGCGTATGCCCGTCTTCATTAGCCCAGGTTAGGAGCAGAACAGTAGGACGTTAAACCCCATTTCATTTCATTTCATTTATTACCTTTAAGTGAGCCACTGATAGTCATGGACCCTAGTCAAATGGCCTACTATGCCTATTGGTAAATCCCTATTATGAGAGATATGCTATACCTGAAAACTATCATTTTGCTAATAATAACGTGTGCATTTTGGTTGGTATTGCAGTCCATACAACTACATTTAATATTACATGTACCTGTTACGCGTGCGAAATGTAATGGAAGTCTGTACCTGTGGCGTATTATAATAAGAGGGGTTGGGGATCGTCCAAGCCGGTGACAGTTTATAAAAAAATTACCCATTATTTAATCGTATAAACAGTAACATAATCTTTAGAGGGATGTGTCTGTGTTCAATAACATAACATAATCTTTAAAGGGATGTGTCTATCTCCAGTAACATAATTTTTTAGGGGGATGTGTCTATTTCCATTAACATAATTTTTAGAGGGATGTGTCTATCTCCAGTAACATAATTTTTAGAGGGGTGTGTTTATATCTAGTAATATAATCTATCGAGGAGAGTGTCTGTATTCATTAACATAATCTTTCAGAAATTGCCTTTCATCATAAAGGACATATTAGACATATTAACGGTATTAGAATATAGATATTTATATTAATTATCCCCTCCCCCCTCCCGTGTTTTCACGTACAATATGTTAAGCCAAGCCATCAAACTGAAAATAAAACAGAAGATGTTGGAACAATTCTAATTAGACTCTGATATCAGACATCAGCCATATACCTTCCGTGTATTCAAATCTCAAGTATTGTGACAACCGTAAAGAACATAGAACAAATCATTCACTCGCTATACATCGATTAGTTTCAACTTGAAACTGTCTATCAGTTTTTGCACTCCATTGAATTATACCAGGAAATGTTACTAAAGTTTTTATTTTATATCTAATATTGTGAATTATTTATGAGATACAACGTGTTAAAAAAATTTCAATATCCCCTTTGACAAAAAAATGTCATTTTTTTTTGTCAATAGATAATAAAAAAAGCATTCTTCAAATTTGTGTAATTAAATATCGAATAAAAATGAAATTAAATGGAGTTTAAATTGGATAATGAGGAAGGTCTTAAGCCATACAGTGTGTTCTGAGTAACATTTTTTAGATGCACTGAACCCAACTTGCTGTTGATAATATAAACATTTGTAATATAGGATCAAAGGATCTAATGATAACGGTGACTTTAGGTTTGATTTATTTATTTTAAAAATGCAGGAACAAACATTAAACGCAGCGGGACGATTTACCGAATACTACCCAATACTACCCAATACCACCCTAATACCACCTCAATATCACCATATACTACCCAATATTACAACATAATGATGTAAAATGTGCATATCGGTTGTAAAGGGAGATAACTGCGCAAACATTACATTAGTATAATTACTGCAATGAATATTCGATAATTTGCAGAAAAATAAAATGTTTGCGCAGTTATCTCCCTTTACAACCGATATGCACATTTTACATATGTTGGAGTATTAGGCAGTATGTGGTTATATTGTAGTGGTATTGGGTAAATCGTCCCATCCCATTAAACGTCATCACATCTATAATTCTAACAACCAATACAGCCCACAGGAACATAACAGGTTATAGTCATACGCCTCCTACATTGTCGCAGGCCCTCGTTCTGTCTTGTACAGCGATCTTCGCACGCTCTCTCTATAAACATGTCTGCGTTATGCCTCTACCTGAGATTATTTATAACGCTCATGGTGTTATCAACAACCTTATTGGTGTTTTAAAACCATTCACAAGTTATAATACATAATACATATTATATATTAATAGCCTTCATATAACGGGCAATTATATATAGTCATATCTAATAGTTATGACGTGATGTTTTACTAACTAACTAAATTAATAGGCGTGCATTAGAACTCGAAACCTCCTGATTGTTTAACATTTTAATCACAGAATAAGTAACAGCCAATATCAACACCAGAATGTAGTTTCAATGGTCAATTTTGCTTGAGGAACCTTTCAAAGTCAAAAAACGGTTATTTATTATACCTTTCACCATTTGATCCCTAAATGCATCTACTAAATCAAAAAATCCCCATTTAAATGAATCTGGAACGATTTTGACTGAAACGGTATCCACAACCTTTAAAGTAAATACCATTTTGAAACTATATAGTTCTGTTCGTTACGTTTTAAGAATATTATTTTTAACTTCATTCAAATGCAAAACAACACACTTTATATGGACAAAATTCTGACATGGAAAAACTGTACCGGAAAATAACATTACATGTATTTGTTCTCACATTTTATGATAAAAGCAGCATCTTTTAGAACGCTATATTAAAAACAAATAGTGCATGAACGAGAAAGTTAAAAAGCTATTGTTTCCATCTGTCTAAAGTAGTTCACGATTCCTATCGATGACTGTCCACTAAACTCATTATATAGTTTTACGAAAATAAATTGTAACATAAATTCTTTCAGATTTTTTTACAGGACAATTCAAAAATATATTCCATAGGCGAACTTCCTGCGCGAACTGAAATATACCTCACTGTAACGTCCTTGTCATTTGACCACTGCAGCGTAGATCCATGACCGACAGCAGTTCCCGCACCAATCACTAAAGTATTATGCGCCCAAATAAAGTAGAAAGGTTTGAATCGGGTCTCATCCAGGAGTAGATTCGGATCAGTTGTCGAATTCATGGATGTACCACTCTTTGAATTCCGAATTTCTGTTTGGGTATTACGATGTAATCCCACTTTTACCTCATAGATCAAACTGGAAACGTTGAATGATTCGAAAAAACCAACCATTGCACCTTTACTAGTTTTCAGATACACAATTTTAGATTTCTGGTTTTCAACATTGTGAAATTCCCCAGTATATTCAGAACGTGTTGGTAGACTTATTATTTCATTTGTGGATAAATGAACTAAATATACCAAGAGAAGTATTCTGACACCTGTAGCGACATCCATCTCTAGGAGATTTTGATATCTGATCAATAATCTAACTGATCGAATATTACTTATGGAATACACAGGGGCTTTGTATTTCTGTTTGGTTTTTCCTTAAGTGAGTAAGTCGTTGGCTCGCTAACCTGGAGTTCCCTTGTTCGATCCCGGTATTGGTTTAGAAAGTTCATCTGGATTTTCCGGTTTGGTTACCCCTTGTAGTGGTGCAGGAAGTAGGGCCTGGCAAGCGACAAATTATAGTCGTTCGGATGGTATGAAAATCCGTGTACACATTGCCGTGCACGTAAAAGAACCCGTGACAGTTGGAATTCGAAATAAGAGTAGGTCGTAGTGCCGTTACCCGAGCAGAATTGCCACCATATGTAAGACTATTGGTAGAATTGATGCTCTTTAAATTAATAATAGCATTATATTGTATCTTTAACTAATTATTGGATTCACACATTCTATAGAAGACAAATAACGAGTGACGGATTTACACCTTAAAAGGGTTCTAATTTGGTAAACATTTAATTTCCCGTTAATAACAAAATAACACGTGTGACACTTCTTGTGGTATGTGGTAAGTTTCCGCTGTCCATATAAGGGTGGTTTTCGACGTCATTAGGATAATTAACCATTCATTATAATTAATTACGCCAGATAATTGAAGGTCCAAACCCAAAACTACATCTGGGCATTCGTCAGACATCCGCGAGATTTCAGCAGACTTTCAGCGTGTCTGGGTGGATTGGGATTGAGAGAATGACTTTATTGTAACCTATACTTGTATCTTATATAACCAGCGCTTGTTGCATTGTTATTCCTGGTAAGACAAACGTCTCCACTATTGATAAGACACACGTCTTACCTACGAAGATAGTAGTAAAAAAATACACAACGTGAAAAGGAAGCAAAGATGACCATTTCAACTGCTAGACGATCACAGGGTTAT